TTGGGGCAGATTGCGACCACCACGCATGATTGGATCCTGACGACCCTGTCGTGCAATTGCGGCCGTCTTGTTTCGGCAGAGCAATGGCTCTGAACATTCTCGGTCCAGAGACAAAATACCTCACCACGGCCTGCTGTGGACTGCTTCTCGTCATGCTGTAACGATTTGTAAACACACACATTTTCGGGATAACCTTACGAGATTGGACAGACTAGGGAGTCAAGTCAGTGTCTTTGTCTTTCTGTCCCCCCTCTTGTCGCCACCGTGGACGAACAAGTGCTTGCCAGATAGGGACTGACACACCCCAAAGCTTGCGAGCCACACACACCTTGGCGCCATAGAAGCAAAGGCAAAGTTCGCGGGCGGTGGGCCAATAATCATCGGGTTGACCGTCGTGGGAAGCGTTGGCCCGTAGGAGGAGGGCAGATGCAAGGTGAGGCTGCGGGCACACTTAACTGCGGAGTGAGAATGCAACAGCGGCACGATTCAGACTTTAGCGGGCCGCACTTTTGGCTTTGTTTTATTCTAAATTTTTTTTTTTTGCTTCCAAGTGAGGTGTGTCAGCAAGATATCGAAAAGGTCGAAAGTGAATGGATGACAGGAGCAGAAGCAATAACAAAGCCCAAAGGGGACATTGGCCGTGATTGGCTAGGCGCAAGGGAGGTTTGGTATCACAGGTATCAATGCATGAAGGCAGAGATGAAGGCGCACCAGTGAGGAAGCGTGGGGAAAGGTAGTGGCCGGCTGGAAAGAGACAGGCCCCGAGGAGGATATGATAGGGTGGAAAAACCATGTGAATTTTGGACCTACCGACGTCGAGAAGGGGCCACGATGGATGAGAATGTAAGGCGGGAATTTGATGCAAGAAGGGAAGCGTCCAATGCCAAGGGAGATAGGGATCGGTAGGCTGTATGTGGGATTGACAGATCTGGACATGCCGAAGTGTCTCGTACAGATAGGGAAGGAGTCGGCACCAGGTTGCACAGGCTGCTGCCACCACTTATCCTCTGATAATACCCTCACCGTAGGTGAAGTGAAAGAGAAAAAGTTGTTCTTGAACAAACCTAAGAGAAAAGCGTGGGGAAGACTGAGACGGCAATGGTAGGCTAGTGGACGCCCGCCCACGGGGAACATGGGTAGTAGCCTATCGGATGCGCCCAATTGCGGTGAGGCTAGCGGCATGGACGGTATGACCCGGTGAAGTCGGCCATCCGGCGCCGTCGTCTTTCTGGCGACAACTCGGCATCTTGAACAGTGACGGTCTCTCTCGTCTGGCACGACAAGGAGCTGGAGCTGGAAGCTAGGTGGTTTTGGTCCATCTAGACCAACGGTGCCATTGGCCGGTCTGCGGTGTGAGGTGGACAATTGTGACAATCTACAGAGTTACCTGACCTACAGGGACTAGACCACCACCGAAAAAAAAAACGTGGTGACATTTTTGCAGCCGAATGAGAGCTTCCAGCAGCAGCAACCAGCGTCAGCGTATCGCGCCTGTCTGCAAAATTAATTCCCCCGGTCCGCCCATGATTGGAGACCCAGCTCATAACTCGAGGACTCGAGTCCAGCTGTTTCTGGTGCAGATGGTACCATCGACTTTATGCTTGGGGTCCCCACTGCTGCCATCGCTGTTGCTGCTGCTGCTGCTGCTGCTGCTGCTAATGCTAATGCTGCTGACCAGACAGACAGACTCTTCTGTATTGCGCAGTGCAGTGGTCTTCTCTATAGCTATTTTGTATATCATTTCCTCAGCCACACCTCCATCCAAACCGACATCCCCCGTCCCCCGCAAAAACACCAAACGAGTTCATCCTGGCTCTGGTTCCCACTATCTCCGGCCTCGGCGCTACACCACAAGACCTCCTTGCTGAAGCACGACACCGAGCTCCCCCATCCACAACGCCGCAACGTTGCTCGGTAAAAGCTACTGGCGCCGACTTGGAGTGTCTTCAAAGTGCAACCGGTCCCTCTAGCCCAGGGTTTTACTTCCACCGCCGCCGCCCGACGACACCGTCTGTGTCTGTGGGTCATCGAACCTCTCCTCTGCCAGGGGGACTCACCGTTCTTTTACCTCTATATTCACGGTCCCTGTGCTGTACACCGAGGCCTATTGTTCCCCCGGACCCCGATTGCCTTTCTTTGGGCTCTCCGTCGGCCCTCTCACAACCGCCGCTGGGCTTGCTTTTGGGTCAATCTTCTAGAATAGCCACCATCCTCAAAGGTGTGAGTGGGGTGTGCGGACCGCCCGAGGATTGAGCAACCGGGCAAAAAGGAGTCTGATGTTCTAACGGCCGGACTTGATCATGTAAGTATGCAGGCTCTCAACTTGGACGAGCCTCCTCAGAAGGAAGATGATGGTCGAGCGCAACAGCAGCAACCCCATCAGCAGCAGCAGCAGCAGCAGCTACACCATCCACAGCATCAACAGCCACCACCCGGAAGTCCGGTCGCCGGCACCGGCGGCCTGGTAAATGGCGGCGGGGACTATGGCCGACAACATGAGGGCGGCTCGCCCATGAGGCAGAATACCACTTCTTCAACAACCACAGTAGCCTCCCTGGCGTCGCTAGCCACTGGAGGGACGACGCCTACGCCTTACAGCTTGGAGGCGCATACGCCTTCATCACCTAGTCTTGCCACCACCGCTCAAGCTGCTGCACAAGCTGTCTTTTCCGCGAGGGATGGGGCAGACGTCACGGCCCAGCGCAGGGCCAGTCGCCGTCGAACGGGGCCCTTGAACCCCGAGCAGCGGGAGAAGGCCTCGCTCATCCGTAAGATGGGTGCATGCGGGGACTGTAAACGAAGACGAGTTGCTGTGAGTTGCTGCCAAGTTCATACGAGCAAACACCAAAGTCAGAACGCCACCTACTTACACGCGTATCTAGTGCCATCCTAGCCATCACAATACGACCTGGGCTGCGCTTGCCAAAAAATTCGGGAATGGCTCGTCGTCACAAAGTGCCAATGGACGCCCACTGAGTCCGGCCATGTCAAAGTTCCAGTCTCTGCTGACTCAGGAACCTGAGGACATGGTACAGATCCCCAACTTCCATGAGCGGCTCAACCAGATGAACCCAAATGATTCTCGGATTAGAACGCCGCTACCATCTGGGCCCCGGCCGGAGAGGCCAACAAGTCTGATTCCGGTGGCTGGTTTGGAGTCCTTCAGAGTTGATCTTCAAGGAAGCGCATCTCGGATCCTGGCAAGCCCTCTTCGCAGTCGATATGCCAGCGTTTCAACCATGCTTGTCCGGTGGCAGGACGACATTGAAGATGCCGATGGATCCAAGAACGATATTGAGGAACTGGCCAGGGTGCTCACGGACGATTACAACTACTCGGTCACCATCAAGAACATTCCGACGTCGGGAGACCCTAGCAACAGCTCCTATTTGTGGCTGAACAGGGAAGTAAACACGTTTGTTACCAGCCACAACCAACGGGACACTTTGAAGATTTTCTACTACAGCGGGCATAGCTACTTGGGAGAGGACCGGGACACCATGATCTCCAGGTTTGTATTTTTTTTTGTCGGATTTAGTGCTGGTCAAGGTATCAGCTGACCGAATAATCAGTTCCAAGAAAGCAACACCCGGCTCGGATATTCCATGGAAGATGATCCAAGGGATGTTTGAAAATATCTGTTCTGATGCCCTAATTCTCCTGGATTGTGCGTACTATCCGCTCTATCAAACAGTACGCCGGCAAGGAATCCTCGAGTTAATCGCTGCCTCTGCTGGTGAAGACCACGCCAAACTTTTGGGTCGGAGCGCCTTCACCCGGGCCTTAACGGAACAGCTGAAGACAAGGGCCGTTCACAAGTTCAAAGAAGCCTATTCTGCAAGCGAACTTCACGCCAAGCTGGTTTCAGTATACCCAAGTTTGGTACGGGAACAGAACCAGGAAATCATCACATCGTTTCCCACCCCGCTGTTTGTACAGCTATCCGGCAACAAGGTGTTGCCATCCATTCTTTTGGCTCCGTTGGTGGCGCGGCAACCGGGAGACCTAACACCCTCGCCTTATACCCCGGACTCCCCGGCCGCCGGAACCTCACAACTCAGTCTGACGTTTCAAATATCGGACGATAATACGTTTAACATGGAGAGCTGGGCGGAGTGGCTCCGTTCCATGCCTCAAGGAATCAAGGACCTGAAGATTGATGGCCCATATCGCAGTTCGCCGTGGGCAAGATGATGGACTTTGAGCGCAAGGCGAAATGGCTGTTGTCACTTAGCATTGAGGACCCTCGTTCCAAGCGGCGTCTTCCGGATTTTTTTTTTGTTTTTTTTTTTTTGTTTTTTTTTGGGGGGGGTTTTTGTCCACGACGTGCGGCAACGTTTCAGTGACTTGGCCTTTTTTTCGCTCCAAGAGGCGAGAGAATGGGAAAGAAGAGATTGCTTTGCTTTTTAAAAAATAAAAAATAAAGTTGGAGGATCTTTTCTTTTCATTTCGCCCCCTTTTTTTTTGGTCAAACACATCGGCAACGTTTTGGGTCAGCGAGTTTTTGATACAGGTCTTTTATGTGTGGTGGTTAGCCAGCATGCCTCGACGGTTTCACGATTTAACGGACGAGTATAAATCTATCTTGGAAGGGCCTCGCGGATAGAGGTGCGGCTTCCGAAGGAGAAGATTACAAAAGCATAGTTTTGTTCTTTTGCTGGTGATTATGTTTATAATGAGTATAGAGATGCCGATCATCCGGCGGAAACCGGGCGGCTGCCGAGTGGGGTTGGCCGAGTTCAGGCGGGGCCGAGCCGAATATCGGTCACGGAGCATTAACCCCGATGGTGATGGCTATTGGGAATTGGAAGAGATTGGACTAATGCAATATGCAATGTGACCAAGTTATTGTTCGCCGTATTCTTGGATTTCCGTTTGGATTGTTGTGTCTCTGGCAAAGCCGATGTATCTATCGTTGATTCTGCAGAGGAACTTTCCGCTTATCGATATATTGACCAAGGCAGACTGTTTGGCTGACATTTCGCGCAGCCTTTGTTTGTATGAGACTTGGGTGTTGGACAACAGAAGTATATATTGTTCTGATCGAGCCCTTTTTTTTTTCTTTTTTTTTTCTTTTTTATCGTTATTCTTCTCAATTTCGTTCAGTCTTTAGGGGCTACTACTATACACAGTTGCTCGAATTACTTACCCTACTGATCAAAACTCACAACCATGGCAAGACACATCGCCGTCATCGGGTACGTCTCCCATCCCACACCACATTTTGTTTTTTTCACCTCACCTCACTAACACATCCACTACATAGCTCCGGCGTAACCGGCATCTCCTCCGCCCTCCTCCTCCTCCGCGCCGGCCACCGAGTCACAATCATCGCAAAAGACTTCCCCGCCCCGTTTGAGACAATCGACCCAATCACCCAGATCAACTACACCTCCCCCTGGGGCGGCGCCCGTATGTTTTCCCCTTTCCTTTCCCCCCTTCCATCCACCACGATACTAAACATGAAAAGACAACCGCTGGGTCCCACCCCACCCCTCAAACCCCCAAGCAGTATTCGAACACCCCCTCTCCATCACCACCTTCTCCCACATGAAGTCCCTCTTTGCATCCCACCCAACCACCGCGGGGATAACCTTCCTCAAAGGAGTCGAATACCTCGAATCCCCGGGACCAGAGTACTTATCCCTCACCCCCGCCACCGCAGCATCCCTCCAACTCCCTGGATTCCGCCTCCTCCCCCAGTCGGAATTCCCCGACCAGAAAGTGAAATGGGGGTGCGAGTACGAGACCTACTGCGTCAACCCAATGGTTTACTTATCTTTTCTGCTGAGGAGGTTTGTTCACCGAGGGGGGAGGGTGCTGAAACATGCGCTGAGGTCCCCGGTGGAGGTTTTCGCTCTGTCGGAGAGATCAACCCCTTCCCTAAAAAACGGGGGGGTAGACGCCGTGGTTAACGCCTCCGGGTTCGGGTTCGGGGGGGATGAAAATATGTTTATCACACGGGGGCAGACAGTTCTCGTCGCGGAAGAGTGCGACGCTACCGTCACCCGACAAAATGCCGACGGTTCGTGGACTTTCTGCGTGCCGAGGGGGTTTGAAGGGGGGACGGTGATTGGGGGGACGAAGGAGGTTGATGATTGGGGGGTGGAACCCAGGCCGGAGACAAGAGAAAAACTGTTGGAGATGTTCAAGGGGACGTGTCCTCGGATACTAAATGGGAAGGGGGAGTTTACCGTCATGGGGGATATTGTTGGACGACGGCCTAGTAGGAGGGGTGGGCCGAGGATTGATGGGGAGATGCTGGAAGGAGGGAAGGGGTTTGTGATGCATGCTTATGGGTTGGGGGGGAGGGGATATGAGCTTTCTTGGGGGGTGGCCGAGAGGGTGGTGGAGGGGGTGGAGGGGTATTTTAGGGGGTTGAGGGGGGAGAGTAAGATTTGAGGGTTGGTGGTTATAAAGGAGAAGGGAAGGATACCTATGTCGTCTCGTATTTATGTGTGGAGAACAAGACGCAAAAAATAACATACAACACCGAGGATTCCCCAGTGGTCACCCACCTGAGTACTAGTTCGGCGTTCAGCTGTTTGACGAGGGCAGAGCGGACGGGATGCCGTATTTTCAGCTGACTGTGGTCGTATGTGACAGAGATCGACTAACCTGGGGTATATACGGTGTAGGGACTGTACCTCACGATATGCTCGCCAGTTGACTGCATAGCTAATGTACCTTACTTAGACAAGACAACAACCACCACGCTGTGGGATACTGTCCATGACCTTGATTTAACGCTCCTTCTTGCCCGATACTGAGATTTGTTTCCAAGTCTTCAGAGTTATAATCATTCTCAGTTGAACCATGGACTTGACCGCCGCACGAAAAGATCAGGCAAGACCCTGCCCAAAGTTTTCGAGCTGTCTTACCATTCAGGTCATCATGGGACCAAACCATAAACTTAGAGCCTCTGAATACGGGAAATCCAAAAGGATGCCCTGTAATATACAATTTAGGCGGTGAGCATTTACTTACCTACCGTAGTTGTCGTGGGTGTGATCTGGAGTATGCCGTAGCTCCTGGTGGCTTGACATCCTCGTTAGCTTTCAGGCACCGCTTTACAAGAGCCATCACTTCGTATTCACATCTTGTTCGGGCTATTCGTAAAAGTTCAAGTCCTATCACCATGACCGTCCCAACCCCATTCAACAACAGCGCCTTCTGTGATATCACAATTGCAATGGCATCAGTTTCTCAGTCTTCAGTGCTCGTGTGATCTTGAACATGGTGAACACCAAAGAAGGAAAACTTGCTACAAGAAGATTCATCATGGCACTGCCCTGAACATAAGATGTCTACATAAACTCTCACCTCCCTCAGGTCTTCCCACAATATCTCCCCAGTCTCAACATCCACACATTTGTCAACACCAACCTTCGTTCCGAACCAGCTACCCAAAATGGTCTCCCCAACCACCCTCCTCACCACCCTCGCCCTCACCCCCGTCCTCACCTCCGCCCAAATGCTCGCCATCATCGAGACCAACCCCCAATATTCCGTGAGTGGCAGCTCCTAGACTGATGAGAAAAAAAAATCTCGTGTTAGGCCCCTCCAGTTTTCCGTCGTGCTGGGTTACCAGGAAGAGAAGGTACAAGTGCTCGGGAAATTGGGTTTGATGGCAGCCTTCTAAGGGGCAAGGGGTGGAGATAGAGGGGTGGTTTACTTTTTTTTTTTTTTTTTTGCCTTTTGACCCCTTCTTTTTGAGAAGACGAGCGTTCAGAGTACGAAGTTGGCGGCACTACCAAGGCACCATGGCATGTGATTAAACCTCATTCGGCCCAGGTTTATTACATACGACCGTAGGTAGTCAGTTGAAATTACAAAGACAAGAAAACCGCAGCACGACAATCCTCCATCCATTCTCCCTCCTCTTCTTAAACTCATCACATCCAAAACCCAACACACTGATACTTCCTCACCTTGTTAGTCCAGCATGCTGGCGGAACATCCGGGCCTAAAACAAGGTCAGCATGATCCATACGGGCATGAGAAACAGCAAGAGGAAAAAGAAGGAAAAAAACCAACAATTATAGATAGTAGTATCATCCGAAGAGCAAAGCTGCGACCTCCCACTCGCATCGCGTATAGTGATTACACCGCCAATAACAACGCACACCTTGTACCCATTCGTCCACTTGCCGTCCGTGCAAGACGTGTCCAACTTGCTGTCCAACCCGCGGACGGTGGAGAGGACGGTGCCTTTACCGGTACAGGACGAGCCCACAGCAGGGGCGTGTTGGGTACCGAAGTTGACGATGGAATATGACTTGGCGCCATCGTAGCAGTTTCTACTGTCGAAGTAGGTCGGGTTGGTCTCGACAATGCCTAGGAACTGCTGGGCGGAGGCAGTGGCGGTGAATAGACCGAGCATGGCTGTGAGGAGGAGTGATGGCAAGACCATGGTTGCGGGTCGAGTTCTCCTTGAGGCTTGTGGTCTGTTTTCTGCTGAGGTCACTAAGATTTCTAGGAAAGTAATGTGAGAAAGAGGCTGGGTCTTATACATCTCATCTGATGGCTATCAAGCTTTTCCATGTAATCAGCCTTCCTCTCTTGGCTCATCATCAGAATATCGGATGCACAACCACCCGAGCAAGTTGAAGTCGCTTCGCAGCAATGGCTGTAAAAGGTCGACGTGAGTAGGGCTGGAAGCCACTCCCGCGGTGATCTTGATGTTACCATAGAGAGACTGAAAAAGTGTTGGTAATATAACCATCTGCTTATAAAGACTCCGAATGCGACCATGACAACCATGACTAGAAGGGGTGCCTAATAGCCAAGGAGAATCCCCTAACCACTTGGGGCTACCGCTTACTCATATCCCAGGACTCAGATGGTCAAATATCTACGGAAGAGTTCACTGGCTAAATCGTGTTTTAAGGCAATGTTCTCCAAGAACCCTTTTACGCTCAAATCGATAATTGGTTCGGTGTCCAAGACGACATGAGAGCTAAACCAAAGAGCCTCGCCACGGTAGAGCCTGATAGATACCATTGCTTTCGTTTTCTGAAACCATCACGTTCACCAGTTCCATAAGCTCAGCTGATGACCGTCGAAACTGACCGACCACCAGCACACCCTCCATTTCGCACATGGCGGATCTTGAATTTGACATCCCAATCCACTTGAAATTTGTACAGAGTTGTGTTTCGACCTGCGCAGCCCCCCCTTCCCTACCATGCGATATCAAACCCATAAAAACGCCCTTTGCCAGACCGAACCCCTCTGATATCCCCATCGTGTCTGGTATCATGCTCATTCCATATATTACAAGTCCCTCGCGTACGCTTGCCTTCTTCCATGGCCACCATTCCATATCACAAACCCCCCCACCATCACCTCCCCTCCCCCCCCTCTTCCCCAAACCTCTTCCTCCTCTCACTCACAAACCCCCCTATCCTCTCCGGCCGTTCCAACTTCTCCATCTCTCTCCTCGCAATCTCCCTATCCTTCTCCGGCAAACCCCACCACTCCCTCAAAAACTTCTCCTGCTCCAGCTTCCTCCTCGCCTTCCTCTCCTTTTCCTTTTGTCTCTCCACCCGCTTCTCAAACCACTCCTCCCTCGCGGCGTCCTGTTCCTCGGGCGTGGCGTGGATCTTCATGCAGTTGTTCATCACGTGGAGGGGTCCGCGGCAGAGAAAAGGCGCGGAGAAGGTGCGGCCTTGGGCGCAGTCTGCAAATGCTGGGAGGGGGTTAGCGAGGTACTGGCGAGAAGGGGGGGGGGGAAATACCTTTAATCTCAGGCCCGCACTTCGCCCTCACCCGGGCATAAAACACATCCCTCACCTGCGCCTCCTGCGACGCCGACAGCGGTAGCGGGTTCCGCGAGGGGATCGGTCTGGCTTTTGCTGCTGCTGGGGAGGAGGAGGAGGAGGAGGAGGAGGAGGAGGATGATGATGAGGAGGCGCTCATTGTTGCCATGGGGGGGTTGTTGAGGGTCGAGCTCGATAGAGGTCAAGGTTCTGGCGATTGAGGGGTCAGACGGTCGGTACAGCAGTTGAAATACTTGTGTTCTCTTATTATGGGGCAAGATCCCCTGTGAATTGGCAAAAACAAAAAAAGATCAAACTGCAGAGAATTGGTGTTTTCTTCGAACTTGTATTTCCCTGCGCAACCTTGACGAACCACCACCAAGTCGAACGCTCGAACCACTCACCCACTCCAACTTGCTCAAACAAGCTCCAAAACTGCAGCCACAACCACCCATCAACAGGGGTTAAGCTTCAGCCACTATATAACCCTAACCCTCATACTTACACCAACACCTGCTCCTCCCCTAACCCATCACCTGCTCATTCCTTATCCCATCAAGATCTTCCCTTTCACGGTTTATATATCAACTTAAACATCTGGCCAAAACCAAAAATAAAGTGTACATGCCAGCGAGCTTTCTGATTTTCCCGTCATCATAGAAAGACAGCTTGTCACATTTTGAAGGCAGTCTTCAGTCATACCCTAAACAACCATCCTCAACAACATGATATTCAACCCCGCTATGACAGAACAGCAGCAGTACCAACCAAAAGCTATTCCACACATACACACACACACACACACACACACACACAAATATTCTACAACCCAGGTTGTCGCATCTTCCCCTATCCTCTTAGCCAGTATGCACCATTTTTACACCTTCTCCTCAACCAACCCATCCAACTCACCCCCCACATGCGCCCTCTCCAAATCAAAACTCTCCTTGGTATTCTCATTATTCTTCTTCCCCTTCTTCCCAAAACTACTCAACCACCTGCTCGCCGCCGTCCCCCCTTCTTTCGTCGTCCCCTTCGCAGCAGCAGCAGCAGACGTAGGTCCCAACCCAGGACTACTACACTCATAACTCTTCCCCAACACCCCAGCCAAAACCCCCATCGCTTCATCCCCCAAGTCTTCAAAGTCGCCGATGCTAGATCTCGGGTCGATGCGGTCGGAAGGCGCGGTGCTGGCAACGCTGCTGGGTCCTTTCTTAAACAAACCCCCAGCGCTGGTGATATTCTCCTTGGCACTGTTACCGCCAAGACGTCCGGGAAGACTAAACTTGCTCGAGGAGCCCTTTCGGAAGAGTTTGCGGACCACGCCCTCGTCTTTGAATGAGCCTGAAAGTCCTGCGCTGGCGGGTTCGGAGGGTGTATTGGAGAATGACTGGTCGAGCGTGAGAGAGTCGCGGGACTCAGAGATCGAAACCGACGAGTGAAGCGTATGAACCGAGGCTCCATCCCTCGACTTCCTCGAATCCGCGGGCGAGTCCATCTCGAAAATGGGATTCTGCGTCTGCTGACTTGGCGTGTCCGGAACTGTCGCAGCCTCCTTTTCTTTCTCCTTCTTCTTCTCGGCAGCCTTCTCCTTATTAGCCTTTTTCTTCTCTGCCTTTGCTTTTTCCTTGACTTCTTTCTCCTTCTGCTTTTCAGGGTTGGATTTGAAGAGGGATCCTATAAAGGCGGGGGCATTGGGGTTCAACCGACCGAGCGCGGCCGAGGCGGCTTTGTTGGCGGACTGGGTCGGCGGCCGGCTGCCGATGACGCCGACGTCCACGTTGGAAAGCATTTCCTCGTCGTCGAGAATTTCGTCGTCGGCCGAGGCGAGGGTTGTCTTGAGTGCTGAGGGAGATCCATGGAGCGAAGGCCGTCGGGAGGGGTTCCTGGACCAGGGGGCGTTATCGGGCGACCAGAGACGGCTGTTTTTGTTTAGGGTTGAGGCGTCCATGGGTGGTCCCCAGATGGAGCCTGAGTCAGTGGAGGGTCTGGGGAAGTCGGAGGACGCGATGCTGGTAGGTCGCGGGCTGCTGGGGTCACGGTCAAAGGGACCACCGGTAGGCCTACGGGAAAAGGGGTTTAGGCTTCTTGCAAATGCGTGTGTGTTTGTTGTGGCCTGGCCTTCTGTGATCTCAGGCCCAACTGAGTTTCGGTTAAAGACATTCCAGCTGCCTGAAATGCTGATCCGCCGCTTGTTGGCCATGTCTGGATCATCTGTCTGCCGTGGGAAAGATTGGCTTTGACCTTGCTTCAAACTCCCTAGGAGAGGTGGCTCTTTCTCCCCCTCTTCCTTGACAGTCTTGGAGCGTTGCCAAAAGAAGCCCTTGTGCTGAGGGGTTTCGGCTATAGTTGGGGATGGCAGAGTGCCAACCATCCTCTCTGAAATTTCGTTAGAGAAGGGGGGGAAGGGGAGGTTACTTGTGGATCCATGAGGGCTGGACAGGATGCTCAGGGCCTTGCCCGACGACGCAGGAGACTGAGGAGCTTGCTCGGGTGAGGCCCGCTGGCTTTGCAAGAATGGCTCAGGATCGTGAAAGGTCGTCGGACTTGGGTCATCGTCATCGTCGTCAAAGTCATCGAGTATGTTGGATGGCAAAAGTGCCGTGGCGGAAGGACTGAGAGGGGCTGATGACCCCCGAAAGTCCATGTCTGCGGACAGGTCCATAAACGGTCCTGGGGCAAAACCAGGTGGCGCATTCAGAGATCGTGAACTGGCAAACCCCGTCGGGGCTGAAAGAATCGGATCGATCTGTGAGTAGGCTGGCAATGGCGATGAAATAGACACATTCGACATTGTGTTGCTGTTTCGGCTCCGGCGCTTGAGCTGAGTAAGTGTTGGGTTATCAAACTCCAATCCCGAAGCGTTCGGTGGCGTATAAAGCCCATAGCTTGGCTGAGGAATAGCCTGCAGCTGAGCACCAAGGGCGCGGATATGCTCATCTAGTCCTCGAGATCTCTTAGTCTCGAACACCAGTTGTTCGGACAGCTCTCTGTGTCTGCGGTGCCATTCCCGCTTCAGTTCGGCGTCCTTCTCACGCCACTCGCCGTCATCTTCTCCGCCAGGCAGTTTCTTCCGGGCCTCTTCCAGTTCTCGCACCTGATCTCTCCTTTCCTTCAATTCTTGCTCCAGTCGTGTACACTCAGCTTGGAGCTCGTTGTTATCTCCTCGGAAGGCCTCGGCCTTCTGATCACGCTCTTCCTCCAAATCTTTCCTCTGCTGATCAAAACTTTCCCTGTCCTTGCGCATCTCACCTACACCTCTTTCCCACTTGGCAATATTTTCATGATACTTTTCTCTTTCACTTTGCTTCTCCTTCAGCGTCTTCTCTCTCTGGCCCTTTCGTTGCAGGGCGTTTCGCATCGCCCGGTCTGTCGAGTTCACATCCCGCTTCAATTTCTCGGTTTGCTCCTCCTTTTTCTTCTGCTCCTTCCTCTTTCCCTTCTTCTCGGCTTCTAATTCCTCCAGCACCTTTCTATTTTCAGCCTCCTCTTTTGCTATTTGAGCCAGCACCTCCTCTGTTTCTTTTCTAATGCTCTCGAATTTTTCCGTCAATTCCGGCAGTGTTTTCTTCGCATAGGCGCTCAAGTCCTCCCTGGTTGACTGGTCGATGCTCGTGGTCGACGGCGAGTGTTTCCTAGTCACAGTGTTTCGACGGGGCCCTGGTCCAGGATTCGTATTTCCATCCCGTGCAGGTGATGCTATCCCTTCCGTGACAGTGGCCATCTCGAGTGCAGGGAACGCCGTTCGGGCCCCTCCGCTTTCGTCCATCGACTCGCCATGGGGTGTTGCGGGCGGTTCCTCGGCTGTGAAGTTGGATGGCAATCTGGAGTTGCCGAGTTGTGGCCGTCCATCTCGGGCAAAGGTTCTGAGCCGGATGACTCGGCTTCCACCCTGAAAGTTATTCGAGCCAACCGCGATGACCCGAACGTTGTAAAAATGGTCTGGCTTCAAGCCGCTGACGACAATGGCCGGTTCTTGGTTCGCAGCGACCTCCCCCACTACAAAACTCAAAGTTAGGCTTGTGTCCTCCTCCCGACCAGGCCTATGTGTGGGTAATACATACCAACCACTCCATTTACTTGTATCAGAAACTTTACAACTGATCGGTTGGGCGCGGGCCGCGTCCAGTTCACAGTGGCAGCATCGGCTCTGATTCCCGCTAGGGACACGTCGGGCGGATCGGGGACATCGACGCCCAAGGTGTTGATCAACTCCGGGACGGGTTTCCGCAGCGTTTGGAATGCCCTTCCCACCAACCTGGACACACAAAATGATGAGCCTACGATTCCTCCAAGAGATGCGCCTTGTGACGAGCCAGCACGGGCAAAGCCACAGGACCATATAACCACATAACCACATACCAGACTACAGCAGCTCCCACTAACAACATGTTGGCGTTTCTCAGAACAAAAGTCTCGAGATGGAGAGCCGTGACCGAGTTGAGGCTGGACACGTACAGCGAGTACGAGAGGTCGCGCGACAGCTCGGGAGCGACGGCCCAGCAGAAAAGAACCACTCCAACAGCCGCAATCAGATTTATGCGGGCGTTCTTAGGCTCGGTGAACCACCAGGCAAGACTGGCCGACAGGATAAGCAGTGTTGGAATCAGCGACGTCCAGGAGATGATCCATGACATAGCGCTGTGGTCGGTTCGGCGGAGGAAGAGAGAGAGGGGGGAGAGAGGGAGAGGGAGAGGGAGGAGGAGAGAGGAAGACGAAAGTCGGTGTCGGTTCGTCGGAATCAGTGGATGTCGCACGCAAAACGGTAGAAGGGAGTGACTGTGGGTGGGGGTTGCGTAGCAAAGGCAAGCAAAAACTACCAAAAAGAAAAAATCAAAATGGTATCCATCCCCCGTTGAGAATGGCTAGTCGGCCCTGTTGCTACAACTCTGCCAGGTGCATGGACGATGGAAAATTGGAGACATTGGGGACGTCCGGGACTTCGCGCATGGCCAGCCCAGCCAGCAGATCCCCGGAACACGACCCCGACCTTCGATTCAGCGGCGACATGTTTGTTAATGCGGCACTGGCAGCCATTTGTTAGTGGGCGACGGGCGCTGAGGGACGACGTGGCCAATCGCTATTGCGACAAACAGTCGAAAACACCCCACTGCGGATATTTCCATGGCTGCACGCTGTTTCGGCACTCAGGCACCGGCGTTAGCGGGCTGCCACCACCTGGCGAGCGTTGGTTTTCACTATTTTCGAGCGCTAAAAAGATCCAACGGTGAGGCGTTTATGTACCTTACTTTATCTAAGCACACCTAGGTAAGGTGGAACTTGCATCGAAGATCTCAACTCAACACCTTCCTCTCTATTCGCCGGCGGTATTTGAAGAATTATTTTGCTCCCGCCGAAAAGATAAGAAGCACGTCTGCCCAACGGGAAGAAAGCGATCTGCCGCCCACTTCCCGTCTGGTATCAAGCATGAAGCAACGATCTGATATCTGACTAACGACGAGCACAACTAAGGATGTCCTGTTATGTGCCATCTCAACAAGATAGCCCCAAGCTCAGACTCCCAACGGCATGACTTTCTCACCTATCATTCCATTGCTCCGAATCGGAGTCTTCGCGTCATCTGATGGAGCCAACAATGGGGCCTCTCTCGAAACAACAAGACGGCAGTCTTCTGTCCCGGCTGTGGCCCGTCGATCATTCTTGTTGGCCGTCTCCAGGTTATACCTGGATTCTTAGTGGTCTACATGTCCACCTCTAATCGACCTATGCCTCTGTTGCTTACTCCATGCAGCAGCTCGGCATACAGAAAGAAACGAGGTTAGCGCGGGGTGCCCCAACTTCATGATCAACGAAGCTTGGAGTGCAGAAGTCTAGTGACTTGGACTTCGTCACTCCAACACAAAGCAAGTTGTGACACTTCTTGGGCCAAGGCATAACAACTTGGTGAGGTGACAAGGCAGTTATATCGAAAATCTGACATACAACTCTCCACCCGCCCTAGAAAATTTGTTCAAGCCTCGGCTTTTTTACTTCGTATCGCGGCGCAGAATTGACCGAATTGATTGCCTCGCTTCGGCGAGACCGATCTATCCCTGACTGAGAACGGACAACTCTAGAGCGTATGTTGAGAAAGATATCTCTGCTGTACGCAGTGGTGATGGAAAGAGTAGTTTGCATACAAAGACACCACGGGACTGGATCTCGCACGGGATCAACTCTTAACCGCCAATATATTGAATAGCCTGTTCCCCGTTAGACTGCGGAACCAGCGCCGGCGGGCTGGTCAGGTGCCGCCCCTCCACAACAAGTCTGTAGTAGTACCATGCTGTGTTGCCTTCCCCAACAATCCTCCACGCGTTGAATGGGGCTGCGCCGTGTAGTTACCTAAGTTGTACAAAGTGTTTTTTTATTCAGCATGTGTTCAGAGTCTTCAGAAGTCAATGGGACAAGAGACGGATACCTTAGACTCTCACATGCCAAAAAGTCTTTGAAATCTCTTATCTTGGATCATATCATAATGATGAACCCTGCTGGGCGTTGCATTGCGCTCTGGTGGGTGGAATATCGGCCATGACATCAGCGAGGGGGGTTCTGCAGTGGTTCAAAAGAGAGCATGGCAAGGGTCCTAATTTCCGGGGAGGTTTGTCGGTGGGAACACATGTGATACTTAGCCGCTGGGCGAGATTTGGTGGTCCACAAAGTACCTCGCTTGTCGCGGTTCGACGCTGAGCTAGGCCCGGCCAAGAACGGGTGAGCGCTGGGGGGGGCTTTTTGGGGCGGCGGCCGGGGGGATTGTTGAGGGCCTCGTGATTGTCTACCTACCCTCTTGTCCTGGCCGACTTTTGTTTCGTGAACCGCCTCGAATTTCTGCAGACCTGTCGCCGACGTTGACGCCTTTTATTTTTCTCCCTAACGCATTCCGTAGACGTCAGGTGCTCAGTGCCCAAGTCGTATTTCTGCCTCTGTGCTACCAAGCAGCCCGCCAACCCGGTCCACCCCTCCGGCTGCTTTACGCTCAAGGTTTCTGTCAGTCAGGCCGTCGGATCGCATACCATTGTGCGCCAGCTCGTCATTCTAGCTCCGACTTTTCTCCCTATCGTCCTTCCATTCCCCATTCCGACACTGTTGCAAACGCAATTCATCAAATATCGCAAGAATTCCAGAGCTCCAGAGCCCACGCGCATACCGAGATCACCCAGTCCAGACCCGGCCTGCCGCCCTGTGTCTGGACCATCACCAGCTCAGCTCAGCTCGGTTTCAGCTGACCTCTTGTTTGCTCGCCTTTGTCCATACCAAACATCCACGGATATTTTCTGTTACAACAGCGACCGGCGCGCTTGTACATATATAGTTCTGTTGGAAGCGACAGCAGTGCCGGTGCAGTCCCGCCAGCCCGGACACGATGCAGTACGTCAGGAATCTGAGCGACTCTGTCTCGACAGCATGGAACTCGATCAACCCGGCAACATTGAGCGGTGCCATCGACGTAATAGTCGTTGAGCAGGAAGACGGATCGCTACTCTGCTCACCTTTTCACGTGCGCTTCGGCAAGTTCTCGCTCTTGCGCCCATACGAGAAGAAGGTCGAGTTCAAGGTCAATGGGGTCAAGCAGCCGTATTCGATGAAGCTGGGCGAAGGAGGCGAGGCATTCTTTGTATTCGAGACCAGCGACACTATTCCCAAGAGTCTCCAGACCTCTCCCCTCGTTTCTCCAGCCTCCAGTCCACCTTTGAGCCCGCAACAAACCACCGGACTCGGGGAGCCTGAAGCCCTCGATCTTAACGATCCAAAAGTGCGGTCAGCGAGCTTTAGCAGACCGCCGTTGACCGTGCTCCCGAATCAAAGAGATGGTGAGTACATGCAAGGCTCAGGCTCACTGCTCGGTAGCTAACATACACAGGCCTCATCACACCAAGATCAGCTTCTCCAGAGTTGGGAAAGGCCGGAACCTCTATTGGCGACTGGTCCCCACCGCGTCCTCATAGCGATGATGTCCTGCGGATGACGGCTAGGAGGGCACCCAGTGAGGACTCGGACGACCCCGAAAACCCCAAGTACTCGGACCGTTCACACAGCCCACCGCCTCTCTCGGCATCCGAGGCTTTGCAGAGAGCCATGAATCTCTCCAGGGAGCTTGCCGCAGTGAATATTCAGACACATATCACCGAAACAGGAGATCTTATGCTGGACATGAGCAACTTCAAAAACAACGAGGAAGATGCGATCAAGACGGAGATTCTGGCTCGCAAGGTTCTCTCGGAGGAGCTCGACGGCTACTACGATATCGGCGCTCTGTTTGGTGTGGATGAGCGCGGAAATCTCTGGATCTACAGCAGCGAGGAAGCCAAGGCTGCCGCCATGAAGAAAGCCATGGAATCGAGCCTGCGCAACGACAACGGCATCGTCATGGACGCGGCTTCTGATCCCGGCTACCAGAGCGACAGCAGCGACGTGACAGCTTCACCTAGCGTACCAAGCCACAGACGTGCCGATTCAGACCTCGGCCAGATGTCTATCCAGACACCACCCAGCTCTCCCGGCTCCTCAACCGCCGGTGATCCGAACCGTAACTACGCCAAGACCTTGCGGTTGACCAGTGACCAGCTCAAGGCCTTGAACCTGAAGCCGGGCGAGAACTCGATGAGCTTCACCGTGAACCGCGCGACCTGCTCGGCCTACATGTACCTCTGGAAGTACGAGGTGCCAGTCGTCATCTCCGACATTGACGGCACCATCACCAAGTCAGATGCCTTGGGCCACGTGCTGAACATGATCGGCCGTGACTGGACTCACGCCGGTGTGGCCAAGCTATACACCGACATCGTCGCCAATGGGTACAACATTATGTACCTGACGAGTCGCTCCGTCGGACAAGCCGACACCACCAGGGCATACCTAGCCGGTATTGTCCAAGACGGCTACAAGCTTCCACGAGGCCCAACAATTCTGTCTCCAGATAGGACAATGGCCGCCCTCCGTCGCGAGATTTACCTCCGAAAGCCACACATCTTTAAGATGTCCACCCTGCGTGATATTCGCTCCCTCTACGGCCCCGACCGCAAACCCTTCTACGCCGGCTTCGGCAACCGTTTCACAGACCAAATCTCTTACCGCACAGTCGACGTCCCGAGAACAAGGATTTTCACCATCAACTCCAACGCGGAGGTCTCGCTCGATCTGCTCAGTCTTAACAAGATGAAGCTTAGCTATGTCAACATGACCGAGGTGGTAGACCACTACTTTCCCCCTGTCAGCACGCTTGTCAAGGGCGGTGGGGAGGAATACACTGATTTTACGTACTGGAGGGACACCCCGCTTGAACTGGACGAGTTCTCGGCTAGTGATACCGAGGGTGAGGGCGAGGAAGAGGAAGAAGAAGAAGAGGAGGAGGAGGAGATGGATGATGAGGATGAGGAGTATGAAGATGAGGATGAGGATGAGATTGGGGAGGGAATGGGGGATAGTTACATGTCGAGGGATTCATACGGGGATGACTTGGGTGAGAGTTATGACGAGGACAGGATGGTGAGGAGTGCGCTTGAGGAGAGGGGGCAGGAGGGGGATGATGAGGAGGATTTGGAGGAGGAGTTTGAGGAGGCGGTGGATGAGGAGGTTGATAGTGCGGGTGGTGAGGAGGAGATGCCGATGGATGAGAGCACAAAGGAAAAGAAGAGGATTTTGGAGGATGTGGAGAGGAAGCTTGAGGAGGAGAAGAGGGAGAAGGAAAAGGGGAAGGAAACGGCTGTGCCGGATACTAATGCGGAGATTATCACTGGGATTAACGATTTGATGGTTGGTGCTGAGGTTGCGGAGAAGAAGGAGTGATGAGGGAGGGTTGTGTTTCAACAAGCAACAGTGGTTTTGGGAGAGCATATAGAGGAAGGATTAAAGGGGGGGATTCTTGGTGTGATAGACAGACTTGTTTGTTTGGGGGTTTGGGAAGAGATGGGGGTTTGTTGCATAGCGCGGGGTTTTTTTTGTTTTTTTTTTTTTTTTTTTTTTTTTTTTTTACTAGTAGTAGGGGGGGTTTACATTCGACTTTTTTTGGTAGGCATTATCATTATCATTATTGGGTTTTTGGGTTGGTTTGTAGTAATACATAAAGGGATATAACAACCACATCACTGCACAACTGCTTGTATTGGAATAGGTGTTATGATCAGTAGCCTTGATTCTGAGCCGCTGTTTGTGTGAAATTATAATTCTCAACTCCCAAGTGGAAGTAGTAGTATACAGAAAGTGAAGTCAAATATCTTTGCCCAATTCAACCCATCCCAACGCCATTTCCGAGCCCCCCTTTTGATGAAGTGCTTTTCTTTCTTCATGATAGGAAAAAAAAACCAAAAAAAATGCCAAAGCACCAACCACTTGCCAAAAGTAAAATAACAAGACTTGTCGATCTCCCGCTTGTGATAAAAGCCAATTTCGTCCCACTCTTCCATCTCGTCCACCCCTTCTTTCCCTTTGAGTCTTGCTGCCTCCGCGACCTTCTTGCCTCCGTCTCAATCAATGCCTTATGTCGTGAAACCCTGACAGAGAAAATCAAGCCTCCCCCATCTCCTCATCCTCCGCCTCATCCCCAAAAACATCCCTGCCATCGTGCCCCCCTCCACCCCATCCCCCCCTACATCCTCCTCCTTTTCCTGTGATTGCATCCCCCCTCCCAAAACCACATCCTCCATCTCCATATCCCCCTCCTCACTCTCCTCATCCGACTCCTCCAACGCCTCCTGCCCAGCCCAAACATCCCTCAACCCCCACCCCGTCCCAGACAAGACAAACTTCTCCCCTGGAAGCCTCAAACCCCATTCACTCGCCGGAACCCTAGGTAAGGCGATTTTGTTTCGTTCTTTGGCCATGTCGAGCAACCAGTCTTTACTCGTCCCACCGGCGGCGCCGCCCCGGAATTGGTAGGCGAGGCGGGATGCGATGGCGAGCTGGACGGCGTTGGAGGTTATGGCTGCGTCCCCTACGTTAACGGGGGCCGCGCCGGAGGAGGCGGAGGGGCGGGCGCCGGCGTGGGAGGTGTAAGGGTCTGCGGAGAGGTGGAGGGCGTCGGAGAGGACGGAGGAGGTGTGCCGGTATGCGAAGTCTAGGAGGAGGAGGGGGACGCGGGGTTCGAAGGTTGTGACGCCTTGGGCTAGGAGGAGGAGCTCGATTGTGCGGGACTCGCGGGGGCGGGGGGCGGTGGGGTTGGATTGGGGGTTGGTGTTGCTGTTGAGGGGAGGGGGAGGGGGGGGTTGGGGTGGGTTGGTGGTGGTGGTGAGGGTTTGGGATTGGGAGCCGGGGGGATGGCCGTTGGGTTGGGGGGCTGCTGTGGTTGACATGTTGAGGGGGATGGGCGACTTGTGTGTGGAATTCGGGTTGAGTGGTTGTTTACGGAGGGGTTGATATTCTTGGGGTTGATGGTAAGTGACTTGGGTCGGTTGGTTCGACTTCGAGATTGGTGATAGTTCCTGGTAAGATGGATGGAGAGCGCGTAGCTGTAGATGGATAATTGATGCGCGCGGGTCGTTGAAGTCGTGATATTTCTGGGAGAGTTGTCCGCGACAGCAACTGGCGGTAAATAGTTGTGTTGTCAAAGAGAGAGCTTCCCGGCAGCTCCATGGAATCGCGAATCGTCGCGACAGCTTGCAGCTGCTCAATGCGGTTCACCGAACAGACGGCCAAGAACAACCCTGGCCCCACCCAGACTTCAAGTGAAATCGGAGGCTGGAATGATCCGGAAATCTTCAGCACAGACCATAGCTTAATTCTGGGGTTGCAACCGTTGCCCCACCCTCAGAAAAAAAAAAGGAATTGGCCACTACGTAATGGAGGGGTGGCTGTGGGAAGAGGTGGATGATTTTACCCCACCATAAATCATGCCTTGGGACTGGATCCGATGCAGGAGCGGGTCGGGAACTGGCGATTTGATAATGCATCAATTTTAGAGTCATACTTTGCCTCACGCTCACTTAAAGAGGGCTCTCACTGTGCTTACTCTCATACATCATAACGACAGCATACACCCTATAGTGTAGTCGTCACACTGACAACCAATCCCAAAAAATGGAGTCGACGCTTCCTCTGCCGTTCCTCATCAGCGTCAATGTCCCGCCGGGGCTCGGAGGAGAGAGGGAGGGGCTCAACCGCGAGGAAGTCTCATGTCTGGGAACTGTCTTCTTTACCGTGAAGCCGCAGACATATGAGAAGATTTTCCGTTTCCTCGGCCGCCACAACACCGAATTCCAGCCCTTTTTCGACGTGACACAGCTCGAGTCCCGCGATGATGTCGTTTCTCTTATCGACGCTGGCGCTCGCAAGGTGTTTGTCCGCCCTGAACAGCTTCCCGATTTCGCCGAGTTTGGCTCCCGAGTAGCCCCTGTTGTGTCTGGCGCCAACCCGGCGCAATTGGCTTCTGCCACTGAGCACGGCCTTCTCGTTTCCGACTTTGATATCACCGCTGCCGAGACTGCGCGGTTTGTCGAGGAGGCTAAGGCGAAGAAAATCGCTTCTTTCTTTGTCAAGCCTATCGCTGGTGTTGACCTCGAAAAGTTCATTGGTGTTGCGGCACAGGTTGGCGCTATTCCTATTCTTCCCTCGACTGATGTAACCAGCAAGGAGCAGGCCGGAAAGCTTGCTGTTCCTAAGATTCTTGCTGCTTCGTGGAAGTCAGACCGTGCCGATGGCTTGATTCCTACCGTGGTGGTTGATGAGCATGACACTGCTCTTGGCTTGGTGTACAGCAGCGAGGAGAGTGTTGGTGAGGCTCTCAGGACACAGACTGGTGTTTACCAGAGCCGGAAGCGTGGGTTGTGGTACAAGGGTGCTTCTTCTGGGGACACTCAGGAGCTTGTGCGGATATCTCTGGATTGCGACAATGATGCGCTCAAGTTTGTGGTGCGGCAAAAGGGGCGGTTCTGTCACTTGGAGCAGTCTGGCTGCTTTGGCGATCTGAAGGGTATCAAGAAGCTGGAGCAGACTCTTGTCTCAAGGAAGCGGTCTGCGCCACAAGGCTCATACACTGCTCGTCTCTTCTCTGATGAGAAGCTGTTGAGGGCGAAGATCATGGAGGAGGCTGAGGAGCTTTGCGATGCCAAAACCGCCGAGGAGGTTGCTTTCGAGGCCGCGGATCTCATCTACTTTGCCATGGCGAGAGTTGTTGCCGCTGGTGTGTCTCTTGCTGACGTTGAAAAGAGCCTCGATGCCAAGAGCTTCAAGGTCAAGAGGAGACAGGGCGATGCCAAGGGCAGGTGGGCTGAAAAGGAGGGCATCAAGACAGAGACCAACGGAGCGGCGCCACCAGCACCAGCGCCAGTAAAGGAGGAGCCCAAGAAGGACGAGAGGATTCTGATGAAGGTTCTCGATGCGGGTGAAGTCACCACACAAGAGCTCGATGCGGCCCTAAAGAGACCATCACAAAAATCGGCCGACGCCATCATGAAGATTATTGTGCCAATCATCGATGACGTACGGAAGAATGGCGACAAGGCACTTCTCTCATACACTCACAAGTTCGAAAGGGCGACATCTTTGACCTCTCCAGTACTCAAGGCGCCGTTCCCCGAGTCCATGATGCAGCTTCCCGCGGAGACCATCAGGGCCATCGACGTGTCATTCGAGAACATCAAGAAGTTCCACGCCGCTCAAAAAGACGAGAAGCCGTTGCAGGTCGAGACCATGCCCGGTGTTGTCTGTAGCCGTTTCTCTCGCCCTATCGAAGCCGTTGGCCTTTACGTGCCCGGTGGTACCGCCGTTCTGCCCAGCACCGCGCTCATGCTTGGTGTACCGGCTATGGTAGCCGGCTGCCAGAAGATTGTCATTGCCTCGCCGCCTCGCTCCGACGGCAGCATCACCCCTGAGATTGTTTACGTCGCCCACAAGGTTGGCGCTGAGTCGATTGTCCTCGCTGGTGGTGCCCAGGCTGTTGCTGCCATGGCTTATGGCACTGAGAGCGTGACCAAGGTTGACAAGATTCTCGGCCCTGGTAACCAGTTCGTCACGGCGGCCAAGATGTACGTCAGCAATGACACCAACGCCGGCGTCGGTATTGACATGCCCGCCGGTCCTTCCGAGGTCTTGGTTGTTGCCGACAAGGACGCCAACCCAGCATTTGTCGCCTCTGATCTCTTGTCCCAAGCTGAGCACGGCGTCGACAGCCAGGTCATTCTCATTGCTATTGACCTGACTGATGCCCAGCTCGCTGCTATTGAAGATGAGGTTCACAACCAGGCCATGGCCCTCCCGCGTGTGGACATTGTCCGGGGGTCTATTGCTCACTCGCTGACTGTCAAGGTCAAGACTGTGGAGGAGGCGATGGAGATCAGCAACAGGTATGCGCCTGAGCACTTGATTCTTCAGATCAAGGACGCGGAGAAGGCGGTGGAGAAGGTGATGAATGCGGGGAGTGTGTTTATTGGGGAGTGGACGCCTGAGAGCGTGGGTGATTACTCGGCTGGTGTTAACCACTCTTTGCGTAAGTTTTTACTGCCCTGGTTTGATACAAACAGGAATTGATACTGATTTTGGATTTGCGTAGCTACTTATGGCTTCGCCAAGCAATACTCTGGCGTGAATCTCGCCTCGTTTGTCAAGCACATTACCAGCTCTAACCTGACGGCTGAGGGGCTGAGGAATGTGGGAGGGGCGGTGATGCAGTTGGCTAAGGTTGAGGAGCTGGAGGCTCACAGACGGGCGGTGGAGATTCGGTTGGAGCATATGAACAAGGCTTGAGTTAGCTGACTGCGGTTGGATATACAATACCACATTGGGGGATTTAGTTGACCTGTAGAAAAGAAAAAATAGAAAGCGGTCATAACAGTTTACAAGCCAGACAGTTTCAGAAGGGTTCCGACTCCTGGGGGTACAAAGGGTTCCAAAGCAAAGGTACCACGGGTTACGGATTTTTGTGTTTTTTTTTTGTTGTTGTTGTTATTGTTGTTGTAGTAATAAACCTGGGGTATAGGGAGTTTCTAGGTTGGATCTGTAATGAATATCGAGGTCTGTCGGCTGTTTGATGCTCGCGTTAGCGTGGATGGATGTGCAGGAGATGATCTGATGCTGGTCGGGGGTCGGGTCGGGTCGGGGGTCAGGGCCGATCGACGGGCTGCCTCCCGCTGTCAAAGATTGTTTCACTGACAACGTGGAAGGTCTTGAGGGGAGATATGCCTCGATCTGATATTACGCGGATAGCATCGACGGGAACACCTTGATACCCAAGGGTTATGATTTATCCGCACTGGATCTGAGTATCTCGTGGATAAATAAACGTCCTTCCAGTTCGAGGATGCAGGCCCATTGGAGAGTTCCGCGTATTGTGTACACAGCAGGCTCAGGTAAAGCTTATGAGTATATGGGAAGAAGTCTGCCTTGCCTTTCACGGCAGGAGAGATATCAAACATGGCGAACGAAATCCCAAACAGCATTTGAACAGAGCAAACAAACACATGTGTAAGCTGTTGGAGTGGTGGAACTGAGACAGGTCACCGACCCGGTGGTTGGCCAGCCGGTTGATTCCACGGCAGGGAAGAGGGTGAGGTGGCCGAGGGTGCCGAAGAGCGGGTAGATCGGCTCCCGAGTGTCTGTAAACTTTTTTCTGGAAGAGTCGGCTATTATACATGACTGTAGATTCGTATCGGACAATTAGCGGAATCCGAATATCGAGCATGTAGCGGATAATTCCCAGTAAAAGAATACGATGATGATGACGTGAAGTGAACCGAGTGTGGCATCCCTGTACCCACTGTAACTGTGGGGAGCGGGTGGCTTGATGCCAAGAAGGGGGAGACTCGTAATTGCCCTCCAGCCCTTCCGGACCCCGCTGAGAAGGCTGGTGGTTGGTGGAGTGCCACATGCCGGTGTTCATTGGGATGGTTCCAAACTGCCCGTTTAGCGCTGCGAATTTTTGGAAACTAATGACGGGTGCTTGTGCTTCCCGCTCGGGCTGTTCTGTCAAAACCGTCATCCGGTAGGTCATGGAGAACACTTGCCAGTTGACGTTTGTTAAGAAGTCGACAAATGTTGGTTGAAGATTGGTTTGGTTGGGCGGGCTCGGCAGGTCAAGCCCGCTGTTGCATGAAACTTGAAACGATGCCACCGTGACCTGAAAGGGGGAATGCAGCTTGCAAATCAGGGTGTGTAAGAGCCTCCCTCCCACCCCTCCCTCCTGGCTGTGATTAGATTTCCTGCAGCTCCCGTCCCCAAATCGGCCTCGGCAGCGAGGGGCTGAGCAGCCTCATTTGATTTATTTTTCCCAATCGAGGGACATCATGCATGATATGGCAGAACTTGTGAAAGGGGCGGCGTCATCCGGTCTTGATGCCGACAACTGACACCAAATCCATCCCAACTTTCAGTGCCACCCGGCCGAGACAGACAGCCAACGTGAGCAACGAGCAGTCTTGGTGTTTCTTGGGTGTTTCTTGGTACTCGCTGGGCAGAGATGATTGATCCCTTGAAAAAAGAATTAACCCGCCGGTGGGCTCTTTGCCAACGGTTGCCCGTGCTCCCCTTCCATTCTCCATTCATTCCCCGATCTACCCGCTCGCGTGTGTGCCATAGTCACCACATAAACCTAGCCCACGTTATTTCCAGGGACGAGCTCCCTTTCTTTGAAACTTATAATACTTTACACATCCCTCGCCGCTACCGCCCCCTTGGGTCTCGCTCCTTTTTTTATTTTTTTATTTTTTTATACAGCTTTTTGTTGTTTGTTGCTTTTCCAGCTTAGCAATTTGATTGCTTTGCTTCATTTTTATTTCTCACATTCGTGGGAACTTTGGTTCCTCTACTTTTCCTTTTGGTTGTCGTGCGCCTTACACGCTTATTCGATATCAATAACATAACACAGCTCACCCACCTACCTACCGTTCTCATGATTAGCAACACCATCAACATCAAAACATAAACAATATGCATATTCTAGATTACTCTACCACCCTCGCTGCTCTCCTCCTCACCACCTCCAACCTTGCCTCCGCCGAACCCATCCCAGTCCCAGCTGTCCAGCTCTCCCAACCCAACCATGATTTAATCCTCAGCCCTCGCGCGCGTCCCAACGCGCCCAGCGGCGGCTATGCGCCCCAGGAAGTCAACTGTCCCAGAAACAAACCCACTGTCCGTCTTGCCGATGGCATCTCCAAGCAGGAGGAGGACTGGCTCGGGAAGCGAAGGAAGGAGACGGTGAAGCCCATGATTGACTTCTTGAAGAGGGCCAATCTGGAAGGGTTCGATGCCGAGGCTTACATCAACCGTGTGGCTCCGGATGTGAAGGATCTTCCCAATGTTGGGATTGCCGTTTCGGGGGGTGGTTACAGGGCGTTGATGAATGGGGCCGGGTTCGTCGCTGCTGCCGACAGCAGAACCACGGGTGCGACTGGGGAGGGACAGATTGGGGGGTTGCTGCAGAGCAGTACTTATTTGGCTGGTTTGTCTGGTGGTGGTTGGTTGGTGTCAAGCATTTACACCAACAACTTTAGCACGGTTGAGACGTTGAGGAACGGGAGGGAGGGGAGCAGTATTTGGAAGTTTGATAGGAGTATCTTTATTGGGCCGAACTTGCCTGGGATTTTTGATACTACCAGGTACTGGTCTAGGGTGGCTAGGCAGGTTGCTGCGAAGGCGGATGCTGGGTTCGAGACTTCCATCACGGATTAGTAAGTTTCTTTTGTTTACATACATGCCCAAGCACGATACTAACCCCCTATTCCCCCCAGCTGGGGCCGTGCCCTGGGTTATCAACTCATCGACGCCGAAGACGGCGGGCCGGCCTACACCTTCTCCTCCATCGCCCTAGACGATGAGTTCTCCGCCGCCCGCACCCCCTTCCCCATCCTCGTAGCCAACGGCCGCTACCCGGGGGAGAGGATCATCTCCCTCAACGCCACGGTCTACGAGTTCAACCCTTACGAAATGGGCTCCTACGATCCCACCACGTACGGTTTTGTTCCCATGGAGTACCTCGGCTCCAACTTCTCCCAGGGCGTCATCCCCTCCAGCGGAAAGTGCGTCAAGGGGTTTGATTCCGTGTCCTATATCTACGGCACCTCCTCCAGCCTCTTCAACGCCTTCATGCTCCAAAACATTTCCTCGGTCGAAGGCGTCCCTACCTTCCTCCTCAACGCGGCAAACGCAACCCTCAACATCCTAGACAGCAACGAAAACGACATTGCGCAGTACGAACCCAACCCATTCCTGGGCTGGAACAACGCCACCAACCCGAGCGCGCAAAAAATCGAGCTTGATCTCGTCGATGGAGGGTTAGACCTCCAAAACATCCCCCTCCACCCCCCTCATCCAACCCTTCCGCCACGTCGATGTCATTTTTGCGGTAGACAGCTCGGCAGACACGACGCACAACTGGCCGAATGGCACCGCCCTCCGCGCCAGTTTGGGACCGCTCCCAAGGCGCCATCGCCAACGGCACGCTGGTTCCCTCCCGTCCCCGACCAAAACACGTTTATTAACCTCGGGCTTAACAACCGGCCCACGTTTTTCGGGTGTGACGTCAAGAATTTCACTTTGGAGGCCGGGCAAAAGGTGCCCCCGTTGCTGGTTTACATCCCTAATGCTCCTTATAGCGCCAATTCGAACGTCTCGACTTTTACGAGTAGTTACCCCGAGAGTCAGAGGAATGAGATCATCACTAATGGGTATAATGCTGCCACGCAGGGGAACGGGACGCTGGATGGGGAGTGGAACAAGTGTGTGGCGTGCGCGGTGTTGAGTAGGAGTTTGGCGAGGACGGGGACGGGGGTGCCGGGGGAGTGTGGGAGGTGTTTTGAGAGGTATTGCTGGGATGGGAGGTTGGATACCAAGGCTGTGGAGGGGGAGTATGAGCCGGGTTTTAGGGTTGGGGATGCTTCTACCAAGGATAGTGCTGCTGGGAGGGCGGTGGTAATGGGGACTGGGATGGGGCTGGTGGTTGGGTTGTTGGGGGTGGTGGTGATGATTCTTTAGGGAGGAGGGGGGGGAGGGGGAGTGTGTGAAAATAGATGGTGATTTGGAGGGGAGGTGTTGATTTCTTTTGATTTTTCTTATATTTTTTATTTGTTATTTTGTTTTCTTCTTTTGTCTTTCCTGGAGAATGATGTGATGTTTTGCATGATGAGAGTTTTTGCAGAGAATTCGGGATACCCCAGCCTTACTTGTATAGGGTTGAAAATGCTGTTATTTGGTTTGTTTTTGGGGTGAGATGATAAGTTGAGTTTTGGTCATGCCTGGATACGTCTGTCCTGGGTAACAAACAACAAAAGTCAGACAGAATAATTGATCGATATTCATGTCTCACATGTTTTTCCCAGTCTCAACTCTTGCGCGGTTTCAGAAGAAAAGAAGGTCAACCTCTCTTGACCCCTTGAATTGATCATCAGCATGACCAAGTCCTCTCACATACTCCCTCCCTCCTTGTCTGGGTGGCCGAACATAACACAGGACAGGGACCGATCAACACTCGCTCGAACAGTCTATTTATACCGATGACCTTGAATTTCATCACGACCACCCCAGGAAAGAAACGGCCACCTTCGTTTTATTTCGACCATCTCCATCCAAAAATCAAATCGAGGTATGTTATCGGAAAAAGCAAAGAGCTCACCTCTCACCCACACTTCATTTTGATTGTGGTGACCACCTTACAAAAACCCTTAGGTTTTATCTTGAATTAGACAGAGTCTGGTCCTAACAGAGAAGCTCTCCAGGGCTAAGAGCAACCCGGGCGGGGGGGGGGGCTTGCGCCTCAGCAAGCTAGTCTTGCCACTTGAGAATTCGATCAGAGTGAGCTGCTGTTCTCCGCTAAGTGATGTGTGCGGGGAGCAAATATATATACTGTTATTGGGGAAGGAGCGATGTGGTGCGTGCTGATGTGAGGAAGGAGCCACTTGACTGGAAGTTAGGATGGGAAGGAACGACTAAGACTACAGGTTGTAACGGGAAGGAGCGATTGGAAATGTGAGCTGAGCCTCAATTAGCATGATATCACTCAGAAACTCAAACAACAATCACGGTCCAAAACCATTGATTACTCACACCTCTTCATCCGCCTCTCAAGGCCATAGTCTGCTGTCATAGCTAACCGCTCAGTATACCTCCCAACCCATCACCCTCTCTCACTCCTCCTCATCCTCCTCCTCCCCCACCACCACCTCCCCCTGCCTAAAAACAACCCTCTCACACAACTGCAGACACTTCCTAACCGGCAACCCAATCACATTATCCACACTCCCCTCCACCTTCTCCACAAGCACCATCCCCCC